AAATTAAACACTATCTAAAGATTTGCATCGAAGCGTTTATTTTTGATAGTGATTTTAATCACTGTCAGATATCATTATACTTGATCCAACTATACCACGTCACAACTGTGCCGCGACCCCCCTGTGCTGGGTTTTTTAATTCAGTTGTTAGCTATGAGGGCTAGGATTTCTCTTGGAAACCATCTTCTTATATACTACTCTACATAGACATATTCCGTCAGATCTAGAAGGAGATTGAACCTACCAAAAATGATTAAAATTACAATTGATTTTACAAAAAAAATATTTTTACAGTTAGGAACTCTTGTCTAAACTTAAGTTGGACCTCCTCAAAATTGTTTAAATTGCTTCCATAATTGCTTTATTGTAGGCTAATAAGAAAAAAGCTTTACATTTTAACAAAACTCTCAATTATTTCTTTTCAAAGTTAAAAAACTTCTAAATATTCATAAATTAATTACAAGGTGATTGAATAATCATATCTCACGCAATATCTTCAAATATAGAAAAATATTTGACTAATTTTTCATTTCAATCTTTTATAAATGTTTAATATGCTACAAATTTTTAAAAATTTTCCTTTATTCCACTTTCTTACGCCTTAAATCTAATTAAACTTTGGTTTTCTAAAGGGAAACATATACATTTAATTTGTTTTAATATTAGAGTATACATCAATATTGGATTTTATGAGATCATACAAGGTGATTATTTTAAAGCTAGCAACTCAATTTTTTTTTAAATAATAACTATTGTATGGATTTTTTTTTTTTTGGCTTTTGTTAGTTGCATGTGTATCTCTAATTATCTGTTATAAAATATTTTTCATTCTTTTCCCTTATTTCTTGAAGTTATTAACATTTTTTTACCTAGACAGTATATAACTATTTTATGAGTATTCGTAGACTATTGATTGGTTCATTTTTATCATATAATACATTTTAATATCTTTATGTTGATATAGGTTATTTTTGAGGTGACAATCGATATGTGAGCACACATTATTTTCCGTTTACTACATTTTGTAATTATTTTAATTAATAGGTTTATCTATTTTTTCAAATTTATATAAATAAAATTTGTCTACTCGCTGGTTTTTCAAAGACACAACTCAAAATTATGTAGGAGCTCAAATCTGTCTATGATTACAAAAAAATCAAGAGATTTTAATTGGTTAGCATATCATATCATTTTTATTCAAACTACAGAGTAGATATTACTGAGTATATTCGAAAAACAGCTTAACTTGCTTATCTACTCCTCTATCATAATATTGCCACATAACTCTAAATTGACGTCGGTCAATACTACTACCTTATTTCAAACGATAAATAGTTCCAATAAACTCTTATGCAAATAATAACAGTAAAATTACAGTATCACCTATTAAAATTATTTGATCAAATACATTGTACAGTAAAGAACTTGACCCAGATACCTACCGCATGGATATTTAGTAAATCTAAACGTAGTTCATCATCAGGTCATTCTTTTAACAATCCTAACTCTACTTATATCACAACTCTAATAAATAAACTCTCCAGAATGTCTATGTCCTTCAAATGGATATCAAATCTATGATTATTATATGTACTTTAAGTCTTAAAAAAAATCTTCAAACGATTGTTCCACTAGATTTTACTTTCTCCTTAAGTAGAAAATGAATAAGATTTCCGTTAAAATTGTTAAATTGAAGTCTGTTTTT